TCGGGGCACCGGCAGCGGCGGGCTTGTGTCTCCCACACGCGCCTCTGTCAGCTTAGCTCATTTTCCCCTGGAAAAAAAAAAAAAAAAAATTAAAAAAATAATAATTAAAAAAAAAAACCAAACCCAAACGAAACACCAAATCTGCTCCGCGGGGGAGCGCGCCCCGCCAGAGCCCCCGTTTTAATCATCTTGCTACTTAAAAGCAGAGTCCAAAATACTGTGTAAAGAATTGCCCGAAGTCACCGAGCCGGTCCCGGAGAAGTTGCTCTGTTTACAGTAACGCGGTTTTGCGTCTTTATATCCAAAAATGTTCTGATGGTGTTTTGAGGCAGTGCCTTTTTTTTTTTTTTTTTTTAAAGGGTGACATATACCTTACAGTATCATATATTTGATGAACACACGCGGTGTTAATTGAGGTTGCCATGGAAGGCATGCACGTAGTATAAATAAGCTCCCTCCTTGCCATGTGATTTCGCTTTTGTATTCCACAAGGCTCCTTTTTGTATTCTGTGTTTTTGCATATTGTCATATGGTGCATTAAAGATAAAAATATCTGCTGTCTCAGGGTGTAATTTCCCTAGCTGGAACTATGAGTGCATATGGAGCAGCGGGGAAAAGATTTAGCTAACCGTAGGAGAAGAAAATGTATGCGTGTGCATGTGTAATATGTATTTGCCATATTATGGGCAGTTAAAAAAAAAAGTCCCCTTTTACCACACAGAGTAGCAAAACATCACTGGGTTGACATCTTGGTGGCCTCATTTTGCCTTTGGATACTGATGCTAATTAGTGGAAAAAACTGCTATGGTGCACCCAGAGGTAGAACTGCTTTTCTAGCCCCAGTCTGCCTCCTAAAATGAAATATTTTTTTTAAAAAACTTCTTAATACTTTTTTTTTGAAAAAAAAATGCTTTACATGTCTTATCATTTGTTTGTTGTGTTACAGGTAAAAGATGGAAGAAGCATCGGCCATGCTTCGCAGCAAACCTCACATAACCTGCGAGGTGAACTGAAGCAGAAAGCAAAGGCGAGACAAAGCAGCATCTGACCTTGTCACTGGGGGGCAGAAAACAACCACTGGCTGCTGCTGGTTTTACTGGTGCTTCAATCAAGCTCCCTGTGGAATTGCAGATAGCTCAGAAAGTACAAGTTCTTTCCAGGTCCGTGGGGTGAATAAAAATTGTTAACCCTTGGCTTGATTTGTCATCCTTTGGGGGAAAAAAAAAAAGTAATGTCAGACTGGCAATTAAATAGTCGTGCTGTTAGACCGAGCGCAACTTGAAGTGGGTTGTTCTGGAGGTGAGAGTGACTCTGGCCAGTAAACCAAGAAGCCTGTTCAACTGCGTGTCTACCCGGGATTCCTGGGAGAGGTGATCAAGTGAGTAACGAGACGAAGTGGGAGTTGTAAAGCAGATGCGATAGCTTCAGCAGGACTTCTCTTCACTGCCACATCCGCTCATTAAAAAGCAACTAAATGTTATTTTGAAAACAATTTGAGGAAAAAATGCACTTTGAGCATCTCTGCAGTTCTTGCGTCTGATGCATTAATCCAGAAAATCGGTAATATAACACAAACGAAGGAGAGGAGCGGATATGGTGAAGGCAGCTAAGGAAATTCAAATGGAGAGCCCAAGAGAGGCAGAGACTCACAGCACAGGGGCAGCGTGCTCCCCCTCGGAGGAACAGGCAGAAAAACCCTCCATGCTCTGTTTTAAGAAGCGGAAGAAGTCCTGTAATAAGGGGCTGACCGAGAAGGATGCGTGCGAAGGAGCCTCAGAGGAGAAAAGCCAATGCATCAGCGCTGACCAAGGGGAGGCGAAAGTTCCTACTCAATCGCGATCCTCCAAAGGAGCCTGGGCAGCCATCAAAAACCTCGCAAGACCTCGGAGAAGGCAGAAATCCTCCTCGCGGAAGAAGGTGCCCTCCGATTCCCAAGTGCAGCTGGAGATGGATGCTGAGGATGGCTGTGCGCAAGGCTTCCCGAAGAAACGGGCGAGCTCTGGGGTGAAGATGCCCTGTGTACGGTTCTCCAGAGGCAAGAAAAAACCCAGCCCCTCTGAAGCGGTGGAGGAGTCGGAGGACAGTGTTCAAGCAAACGAAGTGATGGGCATTTTGAATAAAGCTATTGAAGAGCCGGAGGATTTGGCCCCGACGGACAAGTCCGAATCCTTCAGCCCCCCAGCCTCTGCGGAGGAGGACCAGGATACGGCGAAGGAATGCGCCAGCTCTGTTGGGAAGAGTGAGCCCTTGACAGAGCCCACACCTGATGCAGAGGAACATGCGGAGCACACCGCTCAGTCGGAGATAACCGATTCAGAGACAGTTAATGAAACAGCCCAGGAAAAACTGCAGGAGGGGAGCCTACCCCAAACCACAGTCCATGTGGAAGGCGGGGAGGTTGCTCCCGAAGCGCCCGTTTCCAAGGATCAACCCGACAGCTCCCCTGAAACCACTGAGCTGCAGGAAATCCCTAATACCTGCCAAGAGCTGCCTGAAGGGGATGAATCAGAAAAGAGCATAAATCTTCCTGAGGAGCTCAAAGCCGAAGAGGCTGTAAAGGATTTCAGTCAGTCGGCGTTTAAAGATGATGCAGCGAGCATGCAGGGCTGCTCCAGCCACCAGGTGACATTAGAAGCACCCGTGGGCGCTGGCGTCAGCATCGTCATCACCGTCACCGAAGCTGAGGACTCTGACAACACCGACTCTGACCAGGCCTACGAGCCGTCCCCGGTTTTGCACCGAAATAAGCAAAGAGGGAGTAAAAAATCAAGCGGGAGCTTTGATTTTGGTAAAAAAGAGGGCTCCGAGGCTGGCGGCGGTCCCCAGGCAGAGGAGAAGGGTCCGGGCGACCAGGGGCACAGAACTGGGGAGCAGTACGAATTGCTCCTCATAGAAACCGCGTCTTCCCTCGTGAAGGCGGCCATTCAGTCGTCCATAGAGCAGCTGGTCAACGAAATGGCCCTGGAACAGAATAAACACAACAGTTTTCTGTGATGGCAGCGATGCCCCCGAAATAAGAGTACAGGGAGTGATTTAATGCTCCGTTTGGCCTGGGGGGTGTGTGGAGAGCTCGAAGGGCTCCCAGGGCCGAGGTGTAGTTAATTCTGCATGCCCGTTCAGTTGTGTGTTTATGTGAAACGGATCCTGGGACGTGGGGCAGACCCCGCTACGTACAGCGTGTCCCCTGGGGCTGGGGCTTCAGACGGTGCCGTCGACCGCAGCTGCGGAAAAATGAAGGCGTTGCAGCGACTGTGTTTTCATTTATTGGCATCTGTACGTCAAGGCCACGTTTCTGCCGTCACCCACGCCGGGTTTCCCGGCTCTTCGTGCTGTAGATCTGTGTGTACCGTGGGTTTAGCGAAAGGTCCCGAGGGGCGGTGAGTGCCCGACCCACTGCTGGGCTGGATTCGGGGCACGTCGGCTGCGGCTGGAGGTTTGCCTTGGGGTTCGGCGGAGACAAGGGAGGGTGAAGTGACTGCAATGTTAACGTGAAGATGTCAATGCCGAACAGGCTCAGGCCGGTATTTAGTATTGCAAACAGGTACTCGCTACATACAGATGCCAGAAACCGTGGTCACCCCTGCTGTCGCATCGCGTGAAGCCGGATGGTTGCAGCGAGCGGCGTTTTTCATTTGGCCTCTTCCCCTGTCACAAGCAGCCTGTGCATTTCCAGACACGTTAAAGCACAGCATCAGCCGCTCGCCTCGCTGACCCCGGGCCGCACGAATGCCAAGAAAACGACAGCGCTTCGTTTGCCGGGGGCGGGGGGGGGGGCTGTTCTCGCACTATTAAGCTCAAGGGGCAAAATTCCCAGCAGCATCGGCGGCGCGGGGTGCTGCGGGGCGCCCCCCCCCCTCCTCCCCC